ATGCTTTATTCCTTTAACTTGTTAGTTCTAAAACCCACCACAATATTTATGATATTAAATCAATCTCATATTCTGAATAAATTCCACATGGGCATGAAAATTATCTTAATGTATTGCTGGATTCTATTTCATAGAGCTTGATTCAGAAGTACTGCATCTGTGTATATTTAAAAAATGTGTTTTGGTGCAGAAAGTAGTAATAACCTTCAATTTACATGGTACTTTACTGTTTTAAAATAATTTCATACATATACGGCTTGAGAACTGACAGTAATCAAAAGTTGACTACATTTTTTAAAATAACTATTTGAAATGTATAAGTTGAAAATATTTACAAGTGAACAGTGAATGTTTTTCTTATATTTGCCTAAATCCTAGAGAGCTAAGACTAAGACAGACTAAAGCATAGATTGGGAAAGAGGAAAGAATACAGAAGTGTTCACACCATCCAAGGTGCACAGGCAGGAATGGGCAACAGGCTCCATACAGTGCTTTGCATTCTGCTGGTATTCTAGCGATGTCACTAATGCAACAATTAAGCAGAGGTCACTCATCAGCAAACACTCTCAGGCTTTGTAAGCTTTGGATTCCTGACATACACACATATATCAAATGAGTCCATGGCTGCAGAGTGTTGTCACTGATAGACAAGGCACTAGAGAAAGTACAAGGTGCCTGTGGCAGTTGAGTGTTGTCTGTCCTGGTCACACGTTATTACCTCTAACTGACAAGGTTTTCCAGGATACACAGTGATTACATAAGAGCATTCACTCACCACCCCAAGACCTGAAGAACATTTGGGAAGAAGATAGACTGTAGAATGATACAATTTTATTGAGGAGGCATTTCACAGGAGTGGCTTCGTGTTACAGTAAACATGGAATTACTCAAACAGCTTGGTCTGTATGCATTTACCTATACAATAGATGCTATCTGTGTATGTCATTTTCATGTGCCTTTGAGTCCATAGGGTCTCACAGATACAAAGTACATCAACAGAGCAGCACAGAGCTCAGAGACTGTTCCTGTGGTCTCAGCAGCCCTGCCACACTCACCAGCTTCCATTTCTCTCCTTTCCTGTCTCTTGCACATCTGCAGCTGCACTTCTGCTGCAGGTGTACATCTGCATGAAGTAAAGATCAAGGAAGTGTGACTGCTCACATCAGTGCATGCCTCCCTCAAACAAATGAGGTCCAGGAACAGCTTCTTGGCCTGGATTGTCTGCACTTACCAGAATAAGTCGTCCAAGTGCAGTTAACTTGACGCCGGTATTGGGGGGGTGTTTGTTTGGCTTTGGCTCTGGGCACCTTACACAGCCAGTCTGCTTTTCTCATTCATGCGTGTGCCTGCATGAACTTATGTGCAACATGTGCATTCAGGAGCCCACCAAAAGCTAGAAAAACGTATCAAGTCCCTTGGAACTGGAGTTGCATGCAATTGTGAGCCCTTTTGTGGGTGTTGGGAATTGAACTTGGGTCCTCTGGAAAAAAAAGCAAATGCTCTTAACCACTGAGCATTTCTCAAGCCTTTTTTAGTGACTATTCCAACTGGGATAAATTAATATACCCAGTATAATGTTACTCTAAAAGTCTAAAGTACAAAGAGAAATGCTTTGAGAATCTCATCTTTTTCATTATCAGACCTGGCAGTTGTTACAAATATCAGAAATGAATAGGATTTGTGTCAAAATGAATAGACCTGCCCCATTACCATGTATGCTTTTGTCCTTCCCAAAGGATGCTGTATACCCTCAAGTCCCCACAGTGGTAGAAACAACAAGCCATCACTAGGCACTTAGGTTTAAAACAAACAGTTTAAAATAGTTAATTATATCTTACCCTGCAGAAAGAGAAAATATTTTCTCAGATCCCTGAAAAAAGATAATGAATAATTTAGAGCTTTGCAGCAATGAAAACTCTCAGTGCTGTTTCTAGAGTGCTGCACTGGATTAAAATGTGCCGTCTGTTTCCAGAGAGCAGTTCTTCATGATTATACTCTCTGGCCTCTCAAACATGAATTCCTAATAGGAAAATTGTAGGCTGAGGGCAGGGCAAATAGCGCCAGGGCATTCAGGCCAACAGGTAAGAAACAGGTTAAAAGCTTTAAGACTAAAAGCCTGGGGCAGGTTCAGCAAAATGTAGGTCAGCCTCACAGAATACACAAAGTACAAACTAAAGCTGAGAATTTAGGAGGAAACTAAAGCACACTCTAATCTCTGTCCTTTCTGCTGATCCATTAAGAGAACTCAGTAAAAACTGTTTTGTTAGCAAACCACATTTGGTTGCTTAAAATATAGAAAGTAAAACTATTTGGTGTAGAAAAGCTGTTTTTGAATAAGTAGTTCTGTGATGATGAGTAGAAACAAACTTTCTAAACCAAGTATCAAAACTGAAAGCAATTAAGGAATATATCAGTTTGGTTATTAAAATATAAATGTGTGCCTGTCTGAGCGTGGAAAGCCTCTCAATTTATCCCACATCCTGTCTTTCCAAAAATCTATTCTAGAGCTTTACATAAGCATGTCTAGGGAACGTAAACAAGGAAATAAATAGAAAACCATGACCCTCCTCAGTACTCATATATCTCTAAAATAACCACAGCTCTGGGATGAACCCCACCCCCAGGCCAGATTAGTTCAGAGTACAAAGAAGACACATTTCTGTAGAGTCAAAACACAGTTCTATAGAGTCTGGGGGTGGCCTTAATCCCTCACAAAACTCCAGACCACACGTAGCCACTAGCCAGAATAAACACAGCATGTGAAGGGGCTACTGGATTGTGGGTAAATTCTGCCAAATTAGAATTCAAACCATAGTTTCAGTAATTCTTTAAAACAGTAACAAAAGTTGAACACTCAGCGAGTGGCTTGATGCTCTTACAACATCAGTGCAACAATTGTAGGAACATTGAAAATACATAACCAATGACTGGTCTGCCTTTGGGCATACCTGCTTTTTTTTTTAATAATGTAAAAATATTTTATAGTGGCAAATAAATGCTTCTAAGGCAGTTGACTTTTAAAGTATTTAATCAGTCTAAGGGAAACATTGTCAAGGAAGTGGGGCTAAAACTAGAGAGCAAAGTCAGAGAGACTTGCCACACAGCCAAGCCCCCCCCAACCCCAGCACACACACACATGCATGCAACTGGTTCAGTCTAGCCAAGAGATCCTGTCCCAGTTTGCTGCCTGCCTATGCCCTGTGAGCATTTGCAGTAGGGTTTCTTTTTTCCCCGAAATCTACAACACACTGAGAGATCAAAAGATTAAAAATCAGTGTCTATTATTAATGTTTAAGGCCTGAACTAGCTGGGTGGAGAGGTCCAGCAATGCTGTGAGGGGAAGAACTCACCTTACTGCGTTCTTTCCCCACTCACTAGATATACAGTTACTAGGAAACTGGCCCATCCCCCTAGGGAGGGACACCAGATCATTAATGGTCTGGGGACCTTCGTATAGCCAATCAATTCAAAATGCAGCATTTTGACCAATAGATGCTTGCCAGGCAGGAATTGCCCCTGCCTTGGGCATGCGGGGATGGACCAGAATCTTTAAATCACCCAATTAACCTGAGCATGGGGCTCTCTCGGCTCTCACTGCTTTGGCGGTGGGGGGTGTGAGCCCAAGCTGCAGCTTGTAATTTGTAATAAAAAGATCCTCGTGTGTTTTGCCACAGACTCGACTCCTGGTGGTGGTATTTTGGGGTATTGCAATTCGGGCACAACAACACTGAACAGTAAATGTGTTCCATTTCACTTAATCACCCCAGGTAATGCGATATTTCCACCTGGAAGTGAGGCTGTGTGTATACCAGCTAACATCTTTTCCTGCAGATTGAACTGTGGGATTCTGTCCGTGTGTCAGCCACAGTGACAGATTTACTTGCTCTGTTAAATCTGGTGTCACATGCTTCTGAAAAGACCATGTGCATAAATTCTTAGAACAGCTTACTGAGACCTGTTCCTTACAAAGTGTCATGACATGGGGCAATGACCCACATGGCTGATGTCCAAGGAAAGTGCCTCTGCCTTCAAGCTCCGTAATAACAAGGCCACTGTGGTGGAAGTATATGAAAAGGCAGTGACATTTTTCCAAAATTAGCTAACTTTATCTTCCCTTTGCTTGGCAGGAGGTCACATAGTTGTTTCCATTGAATTGAGTAAAAATAAGCAGAAAATAGCTCTGAGCCCATTATATCAGTTAGCCAATCCTATTGGAGCTCTTTGAAAACCCCTGCTTGGGTAGTCACTAATGGAGAAAATTACTTGGAAAAAAAACAAAACAAAAACATGGTACTTGGAGATCTGTAATTGAGTATTTACAGAATATATAGGTGTGGGGTGGGGAGAAATGGCACAGTGAGGTTGGTGGTAGGAAGCTGAGTGTTTACTTCTTTGCAATAAAATGGAAACTCCTTTTGCTCTTTTCGGGGGATCTATAGAAAGATAGATCCACTTTGACCAGATTCAGGGCAGCACCTTAGAGAGTAGCTGCCGTGTGCATACATGCGTGAGTGTGTGACTGCACTACCTGTGGGGGCTTTTAGGTGTCTCAACATTGAATGAGATTTCTGGAAGTGTAAGGTTGTAGAGTTTGGATTCAAGGGGAACATGAGACGAGTTAGGCTTTGTAGTAGGAAAATTCTATTAGCAGAGGTATTAACAGTGTGAGCAGACAGCAGTATGATGGGGCCCTGAGGAGTGCTTGGGGCTGCTTCTTAGAAGATTCTATACCGTGTGTTTGACAAAGCCCCTAATACATGCATGCAGTCAAGCTGTTTCTGAATCAGCAATGACAATGGGAAGGGCACAAACCTGGAAACACACATTACTTTTAATTCTAGAGACCAAATTGCTGTATTTGGGGGAACTATCCATCAAAATGATGGCACTTTACAAAACAGCCCTGGCTAGCAGCAAGTAATACCCTTGCACACATTTTGCTCTGACTGCCACCCCTCGTCCAACCCTCATTGCCCACTTCCTTGCCCCTCTCGTCCCAGGTGTGGAAGACATCGTGGCTATAATGATTCCTGAGCCCAAAGGGAAGGAGATAGTGGGCCTGTTGGAGAGAAACATCACGGTGACCATGTACATCACCATCGGAACCCGGAACCTGCAAAAATATGTGAGCCGCACGTCGGTTGTGTTTGTCTCCATCTCCTTCATTGTCCTGATGATCATTTCCCTCGCATGGCTGGTCTTTTATTATATCCAGAGGTTTCGCTATGCAAATGCCAGGGACAGGAACCAGGTGAGTAGCTCATTAAGAAAAGTATGGCTCTGTCAACTCAATGCAAACGACACATATTATGGTGTAAATTTTGTAACTCACAAGTAACAGGGTGAGATTAACAGTATTTTCAGACTCTATCCCCCACCACACACGCACTCACATGCAAACACATTGCTAACCTCTGTTGCAGTTTTTCAGAAATTTCTTACACTTCTGAATTCTGATGTTTTACTGACATTGTCATCTAGATGTTGATTTATTTCATACCTCCTCCCATTGCTCATTTTTTAAAACAACTGTTTGTTTAAGCAGAATGAAGAAAGAAGGGGAGAGGGACAGGGGCCTAGATTATAGTAAGAGGGACAACATGACTCAGAAAGAGCCAGGATTTCCTTCTTGGAAACATAAGGGGGGAGGGAGTTTTATTTTTAAAATAAAGCTGGGTTTTAAAGGAGTTAATTTTTGAATGTATATACATTGTATAAATGTGAATGTTGTACAATGGAACGCAATGAAAAACAATTGTCTTCCATGTGAGTCCTAGCTACTTACTTCTACTCCATAAAGTATCTGCTCAGGATATTTTACACATATCTAAATGCACGTCTTTCTATGCCATATCTCTTTATTCATCTCCCATTGATGAAAATGTTTTCTTTTTCACACAAGACATACAATATGTGATACATATGTGATACTTAGCATACTATTTAGTATAAGGTAAATCCTGGGAGATTAATTGCTAAAACTATAGTATATTATTTAAACTATGATGACTACAATGTTGTCTTCCAAAAAATATTGTTGAAGCAATTTATACTTCAATCAATAATATTTAAAAGTAGTTTGCTGGGAACATCAAGTTGACTCAGCAGGCAAAGGTACTTAACTCCAAGCCTGTTAACTTGAGTTTAATCCCCAGAATACAGAGTAGAAGAAGAGAACTGAGTACAAGTTGGACCTTTACATCCACCTCTTGGGACAAGAACACCTATATGTGTTTGGCACTAGTTTTTCAAATGCTTTACTGTATTTGGGAGTTCCTTAAAGCTTATATCTTCCTTCCAATTCCCCAACACCAGGTAGGGAAAAAGAAGGCAGTAAAGTAAAGGGGTTGTAGTCCTCTTTCCTTCTTCCTGCTGGGTAGGGTCATAGGATTCTTTGGGGGTAATAGCAATATCCATCCTTAGAAAATATAGAAGTCCAGGGAACCAAATAACCAGCAAACCAGCAAGAGCAGCAAGACCTCTTCTGTCTCCTGAAAGCAGCCGCCCCTTCTTCCTCTGGGCTATCTTATTTATACCCTTAAAGTTCTCAAAATTCAACAAAAAGCCCCTCTCAGAGCCAGCATGAGGCAGACAGCCTGCTGCTGCGGACAATCTGAATCAGTCCCATGTCAGACATACACACACAGACATATCACACACAGAGAGGCAGATACACACACAGGGAGACACTCCACACACAGATACAAAGAAAGATAAAGACACACAAACACAAATTAAAAAAGAAAAAACTTTCCATAGCATTACCAAAAGAATGTTAGAGGTTTTCTTGTGATTCAATGAATATCACTTTTTATTTTGTTTTATTCCTGTGATGGCAGGGAATAAACCCACAACCTTGCACATACTAAGCAAACAGCTAACCTCCAAGCTACATTCCCATCACACTCTTTAAATTATAGGTAAAGCTAAAACCTTTGTAAGTGTAGTTTAAAACACGAAAGTTTTGTTAAGTCCCTGCTTCTGTGAGCTAGTGGTTTTCAGCTGAGTTGTGGAAGCTTTCTTACTAGTGTCTCCTTGTTGGTCAAGGAAATTAACTAATTTTTTTTATTGTATGGGATTTATTTCTCCCAGATTCTCAACATCTTTGGCTTTACCTGTAGTGCTCTGAAGCATGAAGATTTGTTGCTCTTGTTAAGTTACTGACTCTATCCAGTTTTGCGTTGTTTTTTTTTTTTTTAATTGGTTTTGTTTGGTTGGTTTTGGTTTTTTGAGACAGGATTTTTCTGTGTAGCCTTGGCTGACCTGGGCTTGCTTTGTAGACCAGGCTAGCCTTGAACCCACAGAGATCTGCCAGCTTCTGCCTCCCTGAGTGCTGGCATTAAAGGAATGTGCCTCCTCATCCATCTGTTTATCCAGTTTTGAATATACCACCAAAACTTTTATAAATGGATTTTCTCCAAGCCAAAACTTTAGAAAAACATGCTTTTGTCTACCTCATTTTTATTTCTCTTTTATAATTAGATATTACAGAACTTTTCCTTATAAAGAATAAAGCAGAGATGCAATGTTTTTATGATGGCCTGCCATTTTCATGAGTTGCATTTGTTGAATAAATAATCTTCCTCTCATAGGCAGTAGCCTCCTTTGACAATATTAAATCCAAGGAAGCAGATCCTGTTTTGATGGTCTATAAGCTGTTCCCTTCGTCTCCCTGTGCCTTCCTGCTCCAGTATATCATTTCAAGAACTACAGAACTACTGTGTGCCTCACATCCGTACCTGTTGGTCTCCTCTGTTGTATTGTCTTCATTATGTTTGTGTTTATAGAGCTGGGAATTAACATCAAGCTTGTAAACTTATAGGATAACTTAGGAGAATTGTACAATGTGATGTTGAATCTCCTCTCTAAGTACAATTTATGTTTTTCCTTTCTCTTGCCTCTTTAGTCTCCAGTAACACTGTTAAATTATCACTGTCAATCTGACATAGTTTTCTTATGCTTATTCTCAGCTGTTTAATCATTATGTGCTGGTTTGTTTCTATTTTTTTCTGACTTAACTCTGTATCCCAGATGTATCCTGCTCCCTCATTCTCTCCTAATCCCACCTTCCCTCCCTCATCTCCTCCCTGCCCCTTTCCAAGTCCACAGGGCAAGACCTCCTCCCCTTTCATCTGACCCTGTTTTATCAGGTATCTTAAGGACTGGTTGCAAAGTCCTCCTCTGTGGCCCAGCAGAGCTGCTCCTCCCTTGGGGGGGGGGAGTTCAAAAAGCCCGCCATTGAGTTCATGTCAAAAATAGTCCCTGTTCCCCTTACTAGGGAAACCTACTTGGTTACTGAACAACCACAGGCTACATCCGAGCAGAAGTTCCAGGTTATATCCATACATGGTCCTTGGTTGGCGAAACAGTCTCATATAAAACCCCTGTGCCTAGATATATTTGGTCCTTGTGAAGCTCCATCCTCTCCAGGTCATATTAACTCCCCCTTCTTTCATATGATTCCCTGAAGTCTGCTGAAGGTTTGGTTATGAGTCTCAGTATCTGCTTTGATACACTGCTAGGTAGAGTCTTTCAGAGGCCCTCTGTGGTAGGCTTCTGTCCTGTTATTTGTTTTCTCCTACATCCAACTTCCATCCCATTTGTCTAAGTAAGGATTGATCATCTTACCCAGGGTCTTCTTTCTTGTTTATCTTCTTTAGGTATAAAGATTTCACTATGCTTATAATATCTTATAAGTCTAAATAAATGAGTATATACCATGTGTGTCTTTCTCCTTCTGGGATATCTCACTAGGAATGATCTTTTCTAGATCCCGCCATTTGCCTGCAAATTTCATGATTTCCTAGTTTTTAATTGCTGAGTAGTATTCCATTATGTAAAGATATCACAATTTCTGTATCCATTCCTCCGTTGATGGACATCTGGGTTGTTTCCAGGTTCTGGCTATTACAAATAAAGCTCCTACAAACATGGTTGATCAAATGTCCTTGTTGTGTACTTGAGCAACTTTTGGATATATGCTAGGAGTGGTATAGCTGGATCTTGAGGAAGCAGTATTCCTGATTGTCTGAGAAAGTGCCAGATTGACTTCCAAAGTGGTTGTACCAGTTTACATCCCTTTTCTCTGAAAGAAAGAAAGAAAGAAAGAAAGAAAGAAAGAAAGAAAGAAAGAAAGAAAGAAAGAAAGAAAGAAAGAAGGAAGGAAGGAAGGAAGGAAGGAAAGAAAGAGAAAAAGGAGTTCATTCACATTGGGAAGCATTCTGCCATCTGGTATTAGAAGAAGGACCAAGTTTGAATTAGCTTACCGGAGGTATCCACCTGGTTTCTTGAGGTTCATAAGTTTAAAAACTCCCAGCATCTCCCATGATAATGATGCTTTTTGTGCTGTACTGTACACAGAGATGGTCATGCCAGTGTAGCTCTCCATGGAGTGGGATTCACTACGTATTCACAGCAAAGTCTTTTAGATGAAGATGCAGAGAATAAGGGTTACAACTGAGAGTGGAAAAGAGACTTGGCTACTGTTCTGTGCTTCCTGAAAAGGGGTGATGGCTAAAGGCACCAGCTTGGAAATCAGATGGATGAGGGTCAAACATTGATGATACCTATTGGCATGACCTTAATGTTTGCCCTGCCCAGGCCCCAGTTTCCTCAAATGTAAGGTTGGTATCATAGCATGGCAAGTTTGGAGTCATGCTATGAGAATTAAACAAGAAATAGGTGGCATTATCAGAAGAATGTCACTAAAGTCATCAGGAGTGTAGGGTTGACCTGTAGAACGGGTACTCCGAACAAGAGTCTAATCTAAGCAAATATGACTTAATATCTTCTCCAGTCTGTCCACTACTGATGCTCTTAAAGAGATGCAGAACATTGTCTTTCCTCATTCAAGAGTCATGACCAGCACGCCATTAACACAAGAGTTCAAGAGATCAACATAGCAATTAAACCGCATCAGTTTATATTAGTCCTCTTCAGAAAAGAAGACCAAAGGACCTGAAGGATGTGTCTATCATTGTTCTTAGGGTCAATAAAGAAAAAAGAGTTACATAAAATTGTGATTGGGCAAAGAGCCCAATGGGGATAGCAATGGCAACCTGCTCAGATTCTTCTTGGGTTTTTCTATGCTGCATCCTTTCTCCTTAGTAAAGCCTGACTTCTCAGAAATGAGGGCTTACAGGGAAGAGAAGCAAATGTGACCTTTGCAGGTTTCATGTTTCTTTGGGTTTTGTGGGAAGGGGAACTGCTCCTATGAATCATGTTGGAGAAGAGGAATTATGACTTCTATGA